CTCGTTATTCTTTGTAGTAAGAAAAGACTTCCTAAAGTTACTATAACTTTTATCCTGCTATTATGACCAACTGGGCTTGAATTTGACTTATTGACTAAATTGAATTAAATATTGAACGGTTGAGCTAATCATTAACTCGGCTAAAATTCTCTGTCGTCACACTAGTCATGTGTCCTGCAGATATTGCATTTATCACGTGAAATACGTTATTACTTTAAAACCAGAAGTAAGTCTTTATTCTTAGTTTACAAAATTTTTTAAATAAAACAATTGGTGAACTCAGTTTGCGTATGACATTGTAAGTTATCAAGACCTCGGGCGTTTTATCCGTTGAGCTGCCATGGTCTTGATAATCTACAATATCATGCTCACCCTCATCCAACAATAGTCATACCCCTTTCACTAATCCCAGACTGGAGGCCATAAGGAACGAGCACGTTTTCTTGGGCTTATAATTCAAATCTTTTTATGCCAAAGCAAATAATCTTATATTCATTGACTTGGCCTCCAACAAAGGTTTTAGTGGGAAGGGACCTACTGAATGAATTCCCGTTTACCAGCTCAGTGGACATTGAATTTCTCAAAGTTGGTCGAAAATGAGTATTGGCAAATGACAGCGTCTCTAGGTCGATGTTAATTATACACTGTAAATCTTCTGGCTGTGCGCGGAACGACCCGCCATCTTGAGGATCTTATAACACACCACACACCCTAAAGTGGTCTCAGCCTAGTCAAAATTCAATATTAATATCAGTGATTTGTAAATTAAAGATGCTTTGTGAAACCAACGGATTTATGAATCACGTGACTGCTGAACGACCGACGCCATCTTGAGGATCCGATAGCCCATCACACACCCAAAGATTCGATAGAAATAATACCAACCATTTAACTTATCCCATTCGTTTGAGTGTGTCTTATTGTATAGTAGGCTTAAGTCAGCCAGCTTTTCTGAAAAAAGCCGCCAACAAGATATAAGCCACTTGAGTCAGCTCCACACACTGTTATTCCTGCGAGGGGTTAAGTGCAGAAGCATTGGTGTTATCGTACACACATCACATTAAAGTTATGCCCATTTGAGTGAGCGCTGTTAGTTTTAACACGTAATATTTGCTGTTTTTTTCAGATTTTGTTAAGAATTTTGAAAGTTATAGTCATGGTGATGTAGATACACTGGACACCCCTTACGACTACAACAGCTTAATGCACTATGATAATCTTGCCTTCAGCAAGAACAGACAGAATACCATCGAAGCATTGGATGACTCCTCTAAACAACTTGGCCAATTAGACAGCTTTAGTGCGACAGATATCAAGCAGTTACTCAAAATCTATAAGTGTCGAAGTATTGACAAAGATCCTTTACCAGCACAGCCAATGAGGAGTAAGACAAGCGAGAAGGATGAAAGTCAAGAAAATCAGAAAACTTCTGAAACAAAGCGGCATTTAGGTAATTTTATTTTCTGTTGCAATGAATATTTTATTAGTACAGCCATACTTCAGTGCGCGATAACGCGCTATTTTTCCACTGCTAAAAAAAACTTAGGAAGAAATTTTAAAAAATGTTTGAGATCCAAAATGCCTTGATTAACTTGCTTTATCATACTGATACGCTGGCGTAAAATTGTCGGGAGTACCTTTACCGTGAAGTTAAGGCCAAGGCACCGACTTTATTTCTTGCCTCAATACGATTGTAAGATCAAGGATGGAGGATCATTCTACAGACGTCTTGCTATCAGCGCACAGCCCTATAGCTAGCAGGGCGGGAGGAGATAACTGATAGCTAGCTAGTGCGCGCGTTCTGTATGATTTTCAGTTTTAAAGAAACGACTGGAACGACAGATTGCAAGAGAATTGATTAGAAAAGTACGATATGCAGATCTACATTATTGCAATTGTCGACTCACGTTTTTGTATTCTTATTGTTTCCCCTCTAGCCAATTGTAAAGACCTCTTTCCTTCCACTTGTAAAGTTTTCGCTTCTTACAAAGGATATTGTAAATACTGGAAGTCGTTTATGGAGAAACAATGTCCATTATCATGTGGAATGTGTAAAAAAGGTATGTATCAATGCTTGTGGGATTATTCATATTGTGAATACTAGTAAAAAGCAGGTGCGGCTGTGCCGTGCAGTTGCCTTGTCTTGTCTTGCCTTGTCTTGTCCTTCTGCGGTGGTGCTGTATATGAGATGTAAAAAACTTATATGCTTTGGCTGTTATATCACAGCATGATAAACTACATAAAAGCCCAAAATGGAATTGGAATTTTTGAAGCTGATTTTGAGGGAGGGCGGAAAACCGGAAAACCCGGAGAAAACCTCTCGAAGCAAAGGAACTTCAGGTCGTAGTCGAAAAATGAGAAATCGCCTCACCTTGCCAAGACTTGGTGCAACAGCCTGTAGCGCGATATCTAGATTAACAATTATTGTCATTTCTGCTATCATTTGAAGCTGTGTTTATTCACTTTTTCATGCTTGATTTTGTTTTAGAAATGAAGAGATTTAGTATATGGAACCCAGAGAACTACAAGCCACGACAAAACGGACGACGCAACGACTGATCTTTGAGAAGAATGACTAGAAAATATTGATTTCGCTGTAAAAATATTCGTTCGCAATTTATTTTACTATTTTACAAATTCCAAAATTTAGCAATAATTTTTAATGACCTTTTAAGATTAAATAGACCATTACCTTTTTAAAAGTGGAAAATTTTACTGTAAATATTTGCAGTGGTGTTTCCCATCTGTAAAAGATATATTTATGAAACCAAAGCCAGGATATAGACTGCTTATTTTTGTACATGTATTTATAGTTCTCTTTTGTATATAAATCAAATAAAAAACTTATGCTTCAAAGAGTATGTCGTATCTTATAAACGTATTAGCGGTTTCAGTTCCTCAGTCTGCCATGCTCTTCCTTGCTCTTCCTTGCTCTGCCTTGCTCTGCCTTGCTCTGCCTTGCTCTGCCTTGCTCTGCCTTGCTCTGCCTTGCTTTACTTATGTTTCACAAAATATTCATCGTACGTTATGAAATTATTAGTTTCAGTTTCTATTTCTCCTTCTTTCCTCTCCTATCGCCTTAGGGCTCTAAAGAAGTATCAGAAGCAGGCCTACAGTACTGACGACGCCTTGTGCAGCTACTCAGTAGCTTTTGAAGTCCACTGAAACTCCCATTCCCTGCGTGATTGACGTACATAAATTTTCAGTTTACATTACATTTCATATTGAGGATGGGGGATACCCTGCGAAAGGTTAAAAATATTGCATCAGGCCATATGAGTTCTTCATTTCCTTTCACCTCAGCCCCATTCCCCCTTTTTCTTCCCAGCCCCCTCGAGGGTCAATTAACTAAAATGCCCTTGCTCTTTCAAACGAACTGAATTTCTGTGTATGAGAATATAGCTCTCCAGTTTCGTCACCAAGGCTTGTCAGATGCGAGATCTGACATTATTTAAAATGAGAGAATGCTCTGAAGAACGAGATTTTGAAGCTCCAGTGCTCCTTTCTCATCAAGGATTGTACGCGCAAAGACGCACGGGATTGATTTAACCGAAAACAAGATTCGCAATTTAATTGGCTATGCGTGTAATCGTTTTTCTTCAGATCACCTGGAGAACAACAGGTCAAAAACCCACTTCTATTTCACAATTGTGTTAGTTTCATGCCGGCAACCCTCTGAATAGTACGATAAAATTCTGTACCAGTTGAGAGCCTGATTCTTTTTTATTTCGTTGCATCTTTGCGCACGTTAATTCGGATCAGAAATAAACAGAACTAAAAGGGGTCCAGTTCTGATTAACCACGAAAAATCCAAACCCGAAAAGAATTCTATTAATCTGTCCAATGCGTCAAACTAATATCTGAATACATATTACGGAACTCTCAGAACTCGAGTGCATTGCAAATTTGCAAAGTTTAAAGCGCCGATTTCTGAATTCCAGATTTTTCCCGCCATTTCGATGATGACGTCCGACGTCACATTCCACTTGCGGCACGTTTTTTGTCAAATGAACGTCAAATGAACGATCCTTTTAGTTTTGTTATGTTAATCTCAAAATCATTCTTTTCAACTAAAGGAAGTTCTATTGTTCTTAAAGTCAAAAAGAATAGATCCACTGTTCATCTATTTACTTCACAAATAACTTCTTCTGACAGTTCACACCAGAAATTGAAAAACGTGGTTGCTAATCTATTGAAAACAATTTGGCTCTTATATTCGATGTATACGTAGTTCGTCTTTCAAACGCTGGAGTTGACTGAATCGAACTTCGCTTTATTTGGCTATCAACCCAGCAGGCAACCAGGTTAAGTGCTGGGAGATTTGATCTTATCACTTCAGTTTGTTTTCTTCAATTGAAGAGTTTCAAAGACTGACAAGCAGCCGATTGGTTTGCTACGCATGAAGGCAACCTTGGTATCTTTTCAAAACTACTTTTACGGAGCGCTGAACAAAGAGAGAAAACCATTGACATCCAACTTGAAACCCTTACCAACAACTTGAAGGTTACCCGAGAAAGTAAAGCACACTTTTAAGGTAAGAGGAGCAAAGATATATTCACATATATATAATATATATTTACCAATGCAGCGTTTATAAACTTTTTTTTTTGGCACCGTACTTTCTTTTCATTCATTTGATTGGTCACGGCGTTGTCGTCTAGGCTCCATACACATACGAGTCCATAACAGACAGTACTTCACCAATCCTTACTATAGACTGCTCGAAAAAATAAATAGTAGAACTTAAAACTGTTCATCCAATTTAATGCTTGAAACCGGATTGGAATTATAAAACTTAGTAAACTTGATATATACTGATCTTATTGAAGGCTTTAGGTCTATAATTATGAACTTTTCAAACGTTAATATAATGTATACTAGCGGTAAAATGGTAAACCTGTTCTCGGACTCAACATTTTTACTTGTTTTTTCCCAATGGAATTATTTTCTTACTCGAACGGAAAATGATGTTTASATATATATTTATATACATATGTATAGATGCAAGTTACTGAAGACTTAGCATGAAGCCATTTGCATGGCTAATGAATGTCTTTTTGCTAATAGAGTAATAATCGTTAATAMAGAATTATCAGGTTTGTTTTGAACAAATGTGCCCTGCCTTGTTGTTGTCGTCTCAAGTTAAGAGTGGTTTCTGTGTTAAAGTTACTAGTATTCTCTTCAACACGTGTGCCATGGCCGTTACCACTCGATGTTTTGTGTTGATATGCATGGACGAACACTAACATAAACTCTATCAAGCTCGTGCCCAAACAAAACTCCTTACACCAGATACACGTCTAATTCTGACCGGTTTCTTTTAGTATTTTATGGGGTTCAGTAGAAAGTTATAACCCAGCATTACTTATACGACAGCTTAAGCTCGCCACTATTATTTATGCAACGATATTGCAAGTTTGACAGTGGCTTTGTTTACAGTATTGTAAAAAGTAGAGCTATGTATAGATATTCTGTATTTGAATAAATTTTGTCGCAAAGAGTTGTTGGGTGTTGAGAGCGTTAAACTGGTACTTAGTTTTAGTCGAAAGAACCTGCTAGCGACACCTGTGTATGAAATACCCACGTGCTGGGACCGCGCCAGAACACRTGGCTGGCTTAACTTAACGTGTAGCGTACTAGCATATGACACTTGACTTGGATCTTCTTAAATAAAAAGGTCAATATTTTTTTCTTGATCATATCAACAAAGATCTTTGTAAGGGTTGTTGACTGACTTAATGTCCTTAATATGCTGCACAATGAATGTGATAACCAAGGACTCATACCAAATACTTATAGCATGTACCACTCATAATTCATTTCAAATTGCTGAACATCAACGTTCCTTTTCTAGAATGAATTTAGAGTGTTGCTCCACGGAAGATAAGCCAATTAGTTCTAATCATTTTAATACTGAACTCAGTTGGTAAGAGCGTCGGTCTGTTGGGCGAGAGGTCGTGGTTCATTCGAGCTTAGGCTGGACCAACACTCAGGGTCTTAAAATAACTGAGAAGGGGTGCCTTTGCAATTACACTTGAAAAGGGTTAGACCTTCAAGTCTTCTCGGACAAGAAAGGCCCCGTCTGTCTTCACTTTATAACCCTGCATAAGGGTTATAAAGTGAAGACGATAAAGACGCTGGTGACGACCATCTTCAGTGCCCGTGGTAACACCAAAGGGCCTACAGCAATCATATGGCTATGCTGTTATGGCGTCCCTGCCCTCACGGGAAAATATAATAAAATAAGAAATAATATGGCTTGTGAGCGGTTGGTTGGGGGAGAGGTTGAGGGAAGCAGGGACGAGGGGGATGGAGAACGAGCTAAGGGAAGAAGAGCAGTGTGTACCTCTTGTTCCTTCCCCTTTTGGCTTACACCTCRCGAAACCGCCCGGAGAGCCTGTCCCTGACCACCATCACATCACACATAGTCAATCTCTTTTATGATGTTATGGAAGTACTTCATTAAGAAGAACATGTTTTAAGATGGAACGTAGGTTGCCGATCTCATTTTACAAGGAAACCTTCGTGGGAATACAGGGAAAGTTTATGAGAACGGATGAAAAGGTGAATAAAGTGGGAGAATCTATTTTCGCTCCTAATTTTATCAGTTACTGATCTAGTGTTCTGTAGCATGTATTCGGCTGTGAAGTGACCATATAGGTTGAAGACATTGTAGATTGTAATGAAAGCTATATGATTGACGGAACGAATAACCAATTTATTCGCATTTATATAGTGCGAAAGGAGATATTTAGCCTCATCGAGCGGAATATCTCCTAAGTTCACACTCGAATTAAGAATTTGATTTTTACGGAAAGAGGATAACCAAACTGAGAACCTGGAGAAAAACCCTCGAAGCAAACGAGAGATCTAAGCAAAATAAAATTAAGAAGAAAAAAAAAAAAAACTCGAAAATTAATTAACCAGTTGAAGACGACCTTCCTCGATATATAATACTTTCTAACCTGTTTTTAAAGAACCGTTGATATGTCTAGCCCTGAGGATATGTAGAGGGAGGCCTCAAATATGAAATAATAACTAAGAGTGTGACTTGTACAACATGCACGTATAATGCTAAGTCACGGCCCGGCGTCAACCAATCAAACTAGTCTCTGCTTTTTGATAATGTAGCCAATGACTTCAAGAAGCCATTTTCAGTTCAGATTCTAGAAGTAGCTATCAGAATGCAAGTATTAATGGCAACAGATTGTTTTTTGAATAATGTCTCTATTAAAATAAAACGATTACTAACAGCCTAGGAATCTCTGCATGACATAATTATAAGTTGATAAGATAGCAAAGGTCTTTGCATGCAGAGGTCTATAAGAACAGTAAACCACATAATTGCCTTGCCATCGCTTGGATAGAGGTGTRGGTCAAAATTAACTGACCAGTGGCCTGCAATTATAATTAATCTCAATAATACTTTTATACATATTCATCTGTGCATGTTGGGATTTAGAAATAATAAATAATTTTGAACCCAGTTTGGATCTTCAGAATATCTCATGACGCTTTGGTCTTCTTCAGTATTGGTATTTGAATGACATTAATTTAGTCAGACAATAAGCCTGAAGCGAGATGACGTTTTACCCCCGACTCTATACCATAATAGTTTTTAAAATTCTTTCATATCAAAATTTTTGATTCCTTAGAGAATACAGGAACAATAGTCATAATTAAAGAACAAAAGCAGTGTGAAAAGGATTATGGTCTAGAGACGGGGGTAAAACGTCATCTCGCTTCAGGCTTATTCAGGGATAKAAGAAACGTAACGGAGCTATCATCTTGCGCGTTAAGTCATGTGACATCAACAAGGTCCTAAAATAATCTATAATGATATCTGCAAGCTTGAGGTAAATGTTTACTGCCATGTATGCACAGCACATTGAATTTGTGACAAAAATGAGACTGGATTTACATACTCATTTGTGAGAAGATGCGCGGTCGTATATCTGTTCGTCTAACAACCAGAGCGAGGCAAGCATGGGGTGGTGCAACATGCATCGAACATATTACTTTCTGAAAAACCACAGAATATTATTTTTATGTTTTTAACGAGCTTTCGAAAGTCTTATAACAGTGACTACGGAGAGTAAGAACTTGGTTATACTTGAGTAGTCTTACTGGTCAGCGCAGTAGAATATTAGAGTACCAGTAGAGTATATTAGAGTATTAGATAGTCAGTAGAAGTGCGTCTATACAGCTACCGTAGTTCACCTATGATATTCCAAGGAAGTCATCAGTGTACCATATTGCAATCCATCATTTTTTCGAACGGGTTTTATGAGTAATCGCGGTGGTTATTTCTTGTCTTGAAAATTTTTCACATGTGATGATCTATAGGTAGAAGGTAAACCTTTGTTTTCGTTCAAAGGTAAAACCCCTAAGCAGTGCAATGTTCACAAATAATTGAAACGACAAAGGCATTCAAGAATATGTCATGAAATTTTGTTTCACCAGCCATGGATGTATGGAACGGGTTTTATGTAAATATATCAGACCAGAAGGTTGTATTCGAATCAAGTGATAAAAGAATGGGATCCCTGTGTTGTTGATCTTTGACATATCGGTCTGTTATAATCTTTTGGCTTCAATTTCCAACACGACTTATCATCGCCGGTTATAACCCCTAAATGGTACAATAAAAACATTATGTTTCATCTGCAGAGCAAACAGCTTGTTTTATTACCAAGTAAAGTAAACAAAGTTTCCAAATTAGTTATGTATATTTATTTATTTATTTGTCTACAATAATAGAAAGAACCAGAACAGAACTACAAAGAATAACAAAAACGAAACGAACCATAATGGCGAACATACCATTCCTTATCTACCTTATCTACCAAGCTTGCCATCCAATTGTCAATCCATTGAAGGTCGTGCTAAACAGCGCAAACCTTTTCTTGCAAGCTTCTCTTTAATTCCTCCCGGCATATGCATTACAGTGACAAGATCAGAGTTGAATCACAATTTCAGTGAGGGATTTTGTAAAGCGAATATCTTCGTCTCTGACAGAGTTAGTAGTATTGTATGGTACACGTGGGATATGACTGACGCGTGGGATTGCTATGTGAAGTCCAATCATTTTTGTGGTCATTTAGAGCTAATGTACAAAACTGCTGAAATGCCATACTTGACAAACCCAGTAAACACTGTCCTAACTGCAACCCTTGGAAGAATAGCAACAGTTACTCCATACTCAAAACACTGCAAGACTCACTGGCAAAGTAAGACAGCCCTTAGTAATTATTATCTCTTAAATAAAATTATATTGCTGTGCTGTAGTGTCAAGATAATCAGCCTGATGACCTCGAGGAGCTATTAAACGCTCTTAAATACAGCCCGTTTGTGAAGCACAATCCAAACAAATTTTGTTTGCATGTTGGATGCAGTTAAGAAATGCATTTTTAATATTTGTAGAGATGAGGTTATTGAGTAAAACTAAATAGGCGATATCAGATAGAGCTCGATGGAAGCATCTTATATAAAATCACCTTGAATCTAATCTATGAGGACCAGACGAGCATGGGAGTTACTGTAATCAGGAGTAAAATATATAATAACATTGAAAGTTAATTCGCAGAGTTTCAGTGCTCTCGGCATCTATCTTCAAATTCTGTTAACACTAAGAATCTTTATTGTCTTTAGTTACGATTTTCTGTCTTATAMCATCAATTTTTTAAGATTCTGTAAGTACGTATCATTGTAGGAATATGTACAATGTATGTACATCGTACAATTTTGAGACCACCATGTCAGGCTATGGTGCAAATCTGTTTATCTTCTGATGATTTATTTCGTTGTTTTAAACTCGATTATAAAAAAAGGTCTTTGGTAAGAATGTTTTCATTTAAACTAAATTGTACGGATGAATTTTAGACTGGCTGCACCTGGGGAGGGGGGAGGGGTGGAGTGAAAGCACAGGAAATGGAGTATATAGCTATAACCAACGTGAAAATATTCAGCGTCTCTTGTATTTCAGGGAATGTAGGCCCTATAAAGACTGTCTTTACCAACTCAGTAGCATTGGGAACGTTGATAAAAATAAAAGCAACCTTTTTTTTGAAGCCACGTTCAGTTGGAAATTGTTTTCAAATTGTATTTCCTTGTCAACGTATCAGAATTAAAAATAACTGTCAAAAAAAAAAAAGAGTTATTGTCAATCTTTATTCCAGAGACTGCATCGACAGTGCATGGTTGTATCGCTTCTGAATTACTCTCATTTAGGATTTATCGACAACGACTCGGTCCGAATTTATGTATGCATCGTCAGACTCAGTATCTGTGACATTTTTAACAATATTTTTACGTATTTTAAAGAGTGGGAAAAATAAAATCACCCTGGAGTACTGACAAACGAAAAAAGATTTGTTATTTAGTAAAAACTGTGAAGGCATGGTCAGTATAGAGTGATCAATGTTGATGGAATTACTTTGACATTCAACGATAATGAAATAAATGTATTTGTTTTCAATGTTCTTTCATTACTCCCGGCCAACCCATCTGTGTTTATACTGACCACACGGAGATTGTTGACATTGCATCGACACCACAGCTGGCACCGTGCTATATCTATTTTCTGAATCATGTACGAAATGACATCTATAACAAATGAAAATATGCTATTTTCCTCTGGGGTAAACCCATTATCTCAAAATCATAGAACCGTCCCTGGCTTGTATGGGAAGGTAGATCAGATGTTACATAAAAAATGGGCGCCGACAATTAGGTATATTTTAGGTATAGCATATTCTCTTGGGTATAGTAATCATGACGTCATGAGAACGGAATTGGCGGTAGAAGCAAACGTTTTATGTATTTATAGTCCATGGTTATTACAAATATATATCACATGAGATTGCATGGTATACAGGCTAGGCAGTTAATATGTAGTAATATAGTTGCCTGAATATAATGGAGAGGGACGTGGTAAGACTTATCAAACTTTGCTCGATTTTTTTGTGATTAGCCAATGTAATTTAGGATTTCAGTAGGAATTCCCTCGTAAAGAACGCTGACTGCGAAGGACATTCGGGAATGTTCGTTCAAAGAAATGTAAAAGAACCATCCGCAGCACTTTTATAACCTTGAAGATGGCCGCAATGACGACAGCTGGACCGGTTTAATATCAAAACAAAAACAGAGTTGGAAAACTATATTTATTGAAATAAATGTCTTTGTGAAAGATGTCTTAAATTAGATCATCTTCAGAGCAGAGAGAGTATTGCATGATCATGGAGTATATCATTGACTTTTGCTGGTTTCATTGGGTTTTAAATCGTTTTAAGAATTAATGTATAGATGTAGTGCGCATGCCTCGTCTATGACGGTGTACCAATCAAACGTTAGAAGAGTCAGAAGTTAGTACAAAGTATTACACTCCTTTGAAAACTAAAGTTATGAAATTTGCTCATGAAAATTGGTGCTGGACACCTTAATTTTATCATGGCTTATGGAAAATTACGAGTTGGAATTACCAGTAGATTTTTCTTCAATCTAAATATAAATATTTTGGAAAGAAAGAAAGAAAGAAAGAAAAAAAAAAAAAAAAAAAAAAAANAAAAAAAAAAAAAAAAAAAAAAGAAGAAGGAAAAAACAACTGCTTTCAAAAATTGTTTATGTGCCAATTTCCGTCAGGAAATTCTAGAAACGTATTCTAGAGTCATCGACAATTTTGATCACAAGAGAACTAACTACCTTGCCCAAAGTCCCAAACTGATGGTACGGCTTCTCTGGGTTTATAAATCTGACYTTTTACTAAAAACCTTTCAGTCACTGTTGGCTTGTTTTCTCCTCTCTGCTTCATCTCGTGTAAGATAAAACGCACATTTTAGATTTGTTCTGATCGTTGGTTGTGTCTCTGGTTAACCAAAACAGATCATAAACTTATAAATATTTTGAAATTAAATGTTGTCGTTTCCCCCCTTTTGCTTATTTTTACATCATTGTATAGATTATTGTATCGACTTTTTGTGCCATAAAATCGATAATACCATGACATATTAGTCAATCCATCAAATTATAATTTCCTGAGATCTATGTTGATACGATAACGAGCATTTCCTCCAATTGTATACACGGAAAGAAACAAAAGAAATGTTTAGTACTCGGGTGGAAATTGGCAGTAGACATTGTTTACATAGCAAGAYAAGGGTAATAAGGATAGCTTACATACCTGAGCGCGCAATTCGCGAGCTGAATTTGGAAGCGAGCACAGTGCATGCTTTTCGCATCCCTGTGCTACTTTTAAAGTGTTTCGAAAATAACATCGAATAATAATACCAATATTATTACCTTTAGCGGCAAATCTAGATGTGAGAGACTATTCAAGGTAGGAAATTAGTAGAGTTTCTTGTTTGAATTCAAGACTAGTGACGACCAGTGACGAGTGGTTTAGTAGGCACTTTCTATCGATAACTGCGACTTTAAACGGCTAAGCTCTTAAAGTCAAAATAACATTTTATCATTTAATTATTTATTTGGAAGATTTGTTTTGGAAATGCCATTTGTTATTGCCTGAAAGGACAACTATTTTATTTCTCTCGCAGCGGGCTTCCTGCGTGTATTATGAAGTTAGTTACAAGTTTGCATGTAGGTATAGTATTTTCTCACATGGGTTGATGGAGTGGATGGGATTGACCCTGACAAAACACTGGTACATGATACTACATAGCATATCTGAGATAAGATTAGTAATCTGTAGATGGATGCAGTGTCACAATAACAAAAGTGCCGACGATAAAGCATGTATACCGAAAATCGTTTTATCCAAACAAATAATTTATGTTAGAGATTGTTTTTCTTTCAGGTACAATGATGAGGGTACAATTATTTGCAATAAAGAACCTTCTAGTATTGACTGGATTTTGTGGAGTGATAAACCTGATCTACTTGCTATTATATGCTGGTCTGGAAAGCAATGTAGACAGATATCCTAGCCGACTTCTAGGGAGGCAAATATCAAGTATAGACGAGGACAATAAGTACCCAACTACAACTAACTACGGTCACTTGGAGATGATGAACTCTGACCTGAAAGAAATCCTCGATCGTTACTCACTGTCTATGAACACTCTTGGAAAGAACTACGGACAAGCACAACATACGAGGGAAAGAGTAAACAGAGGGTACCTACGCAAAAAGGCTACTAAAATCGTTAAAATGTCAAAGTGTGCAAGTCCACCGTTTCTTTTGATCCAAGTCCATTCCAGTCCAGGGAATTTTCTGAGCAGAGAAGCGATACGGCTTTCATGGGGAAAGCCAGAAAATGCTATCAATCAAGGAAGTTGGAGTAAATCTAAGAGGTATGTTAACGTCAGTTCTTCACAGGGAGAAATACTCGAACTAAAATGTCTGATCGAAATGTACCAAAAATGTAGTAGCTATAAATAGGGGTTGCCAGACACGCGTTGTCATAGTAAGAGACAGTCACTATACCTCAGTAGGCAATGATTTTTATAAAAGGCCATGCCATGCAATGATAGATAACAGCCCGATGGACCTTCTAGATAAAAATCCATATCTTTATGTTCTTACCCATGTACTGATGTAGACTTAGTTAGGAAAAAGGCACACTGTCTGGTCTAGTCTCTCTATGGGCCTTACTCACGAAGCAGCCAGGTTGACTGGAGCAAAAGTTTTCCCCAAGCGTAGCCTCGCCTTCAAGTGCTCGAGAATAAATTTATGCAGGTTAAACAATAAGCTTTATTCTCATTGGAATAAACATGGCTACCGCGTACCGAGTCCCATAAGGCATGACGATTGAATTGAGTATAAGGATAATAACCCATTTAAAAAAAATCACAGGAATTGTCGCCAAACTTTTGTACTTTTATTTTTCAGATCTTGGAAAACTGTGTTTTTGGTTGCCAAGAGCAATAATTCCCGAATCAACCACCTCCTTCGGCAGGAAGCACAATTCTACGATGACATCATCATTGGGGATTTTCCTGACACTTTTAGACATTTATCGCAGAAAATGCTTCTAGGTATTGAGTGGTCACTACATTATTGCCGCCCAAAATATCTTCTCAAAACAGATGAAGACTGTTATATCAATATTATATCGCTTTTGCTATGGTTAAGCGATCATCATAATGTCAACAGTTCAAAGGATTTGTACCGTGGCAAGGTTCAAAGAAACATGCAAGTAGAGCGAGATGAAGACAGTAGGTACTATGTTTCCGAGAAAGATTTCCAGGGGATATTTTACAAACCGTATATTTCCGGTGGAGGATATTTGTTTAGCGGGAACTTGCTGCCAAGACTTTATGAAGCTACGAATTTTGTTCCTCTTATTCCGATTGAGGATGCTTACTTCGGGATGCTTATGGATCGTTTAGGTGTAAAGCCAGAAATGGATTTGAGATTTCTACCTTTTGTCAGTTGTGAACGGTCTTATGAGACGCTGTTTGAGCGACCGATGTGTCATTTCAAGGACCCATTTGTGATCCATGGAGTAAATGAAGTGCAACAGATCCACATGCATTACAATGTTTTGATCATGAATTTTATGCCAACGGTATGCTCCTATGTGGAAAGTCAAAGTGACCATAGTTACCTAAAAAGAATATGCTGACACTGCAATAAGTAAGGACGTTTTTTGCACGTGTGTTCTTGTTCGTCTTAGAAAAGACTTTAACTATTTAGCGTTAGAAGGACTATTAAATTAAACAAGACTTAAGACATTTTAAGCTTGTCATCGGCCTATTTCTAACGGAATAAACCTTCCAAAAATAAACAGAGCATTCATCCGGACAGAAAGTGGATCAGTAGGAGAGCGTCTAGGGGAGTGTAAGGAGAGACATGTCTTCTCTATTGTGAATCATTCTGTCATTTCAAATTCTCTTGGGAAAGACGAGAACCAAGGTAACCACACCGGCCCTGTAAACGCTGTAAAGGCTGAGCTAAAAGGAAGTAAATATATTTTTACACATTACTACACAGTAAAGCTTTTATCTTATCTAATAAGGTATGCTTTTGGGAGTGAATAAAGTATATAAAAATCGAAGGAATATTTTCTTACTCAAATTGCCATCAGAGATGAACCATTCTGTTCAAGTTTAGATATTAATAGAATTTATTTTTATGATTATATAGACTAATAGGTATTGATTTTTGAATAAAGGAAAATATCTGTTTTACTAGCCTCCGCCCATTAGAATTTAGCGTGATTGGGTCTTTCTTTGCGGAGTGAAGCGGAGGGAGGAAACCCAGATGGCCCGGTGAAAAACCCTCGAATCAATGAAGCGAGTAAACAAACTCTACTTACATTGCAGTGCTAGTCAAGGAAACCGAGACCCTAGAGGCGAGTGCGCTTCTGCTATATGGTTCGCCTTGACAGGGAACAACCCCTCCCATCTAAATGATAATAAGYGTTTTATAACGAATCAACAATCGATCTCCGACACAAATGAACATGGATCATCCTTACCCCCATCCCCACCGTTGTATTTGCCATCCCATGCAAACCCAATATTGTCGCTACTTTGAAATATACTAAACAAATCAGCGTCTTCATCGTCAATGATGGCCCAGCAATCTCGATCCTTGTCACAAAAGAGGTATTGCAGCACAAGCGTAGACAGTGCAAGAGCAAGGATCTCTGGAACTTCTGTGACGCCACTGGACATGACGAATTTACCGTCACTGATATGAAGGTAAATGTACGACATGTTCTGTTGATCGGAAAGCGACGAAGGTACTTTCAGCATGTACAAGGAATTCTTGAACTTTTGAACAGGACAATAGCAATTGGTATTGTCGCGCAAAAGAAACAGTTTAAATGCCAAAACGGCAGATTTTCCTTTGCCAAAACGAGGTGGTAAAGGCACTTTACGTCCAAGACACAAGCCCCAGTCGTTCTGACCCCGAATGAGCATGGCATTTTCTGCTGTATAATTAGAAAAATAAGCACACCCACGGGATGAAGCCAAATCGGTCTTGTATGGCAATGCATTGGAAGGCAAAAGGTGACTTGTCGCAGCAACATTTCCTTTACTATCTAAGATTTCAACGGCATAAAATACGTCTGTAGTAGCAACAGATCGTACAATCCGGGATACAAAGGCCTTTTCTCCTCTATAATTTAGTATCGGGTAGGTCATTACTTCAGATGGTGTCTTGGGTGCAATAATGGTCGACAAGGATAACATGAGAGTAGGATAAGAGAGAGCACTACAAATGTGTTTAAACTTTGCAAAGCCGTACTCTGGGCTAACCTGAAACACATAGTGTCCACATCCAATGGGCGATACTGACAACGTCACTCGCATATGTGGACCATCACGTGGAAAATTCAGGGGCACACAAATCTTCCGTTTTTTCTCATCTTTGCTTGGCGAAGGCTGAAAGTCTTTTGGTTCCAAATGCTTGAAGATATCAAGATCTGTTTTCCCAATCAAGATTTTTTCGGAATGTAGTCTGGTTCGGTCGATCTTGTACAAAGATACGTTAATTGTTTTAGTATCTGATGTGCTGGAGTTGGTTTGAACCAATGTAGAGTGACCATCACCAATTGTGTATGTGGTGATATCTTCTGAGTTTTCCTGATCTTCTGTTTGCGCTGGTGCATCTTCTAATAACGAATACATTTGGTGAGTAAACACTGAAACCTTGCTTTTTCCTTTGGCCTTTTGCTTGTCCGATGGAAAATCTTCGAGCTGAACATATTGAACTCCATTCTCTTTGTCCATCGAGAAGAAATTATTATTGCTAGATTTATCTTCATCTAACTTTATCTTTTCTTTGTAAATCTCCTCTCCTTCAGATCCCACGAAAACCAGCAAATAATAGTTGTGGTGATCAAGATCTTCCAAGTCAATCTGAGTAACTGATATACCATAATCCTGGCGAAGCATAGCAAAGCGATCGATGTGCTTCTTATCAATAGAATTTGTTATTGATAAATATGACGGATCTCCTCTGTAAAGTGTTCCAGGTTTATGGTACTCGAGACCAGCTTCAGTCCAAATCTTTTTTGTGGCTTCTTCAATTTGACATTGGCGACCTAGATTATCTGTCGAGTCCAAAAGGTCAAAAGGGCTCGCAATCTTACCAAGCATTACAGTTATTTGATAGTTATAGAATATAGGATTCAGCTGATGTGAATACATGACAAGCTGTACGTCGACAGGTGGGCAAAGCATCAAAGAAGGATCCTTCATTTGTAGACTCAGATGTGTGACGTAACGCAGCGTCGCCGAGTCCAGGAACTTCTCATCCTGGTAATGGGGGAGAGAGACTTGATAATAAAAGTTGCGCAGTTTAGTAGACAGCCGAGTAAAGTCATGTCTAAGCTTGGGTTTATATTCTTGAACATCTATAGATCGGTCTAAGTCAAGATCAAATGGTTCTTTGTTTACGTTAGACTGATCCCATAGTTCTTTAGTTAACTGTCTAGCCGCCTGGAGTGTTTTTCCTGATTTCAAAGCATGGTTAGGAGCATTACCAATAAGACAAATACAGTCGTTCACGTAGTTTTCAGGCATCAACATGTGAAGATACCACACCCATGCCACGTCCAAAGGTGCAGCCCACTCGTCACATGACATGGTGCCATGTTTCTTACACAGAGGTAACCAGTACATCTCATAGCGTCTGACAGCATTAGGAAGGTGTTCTCCATGTATCAATGAAGGGTATTTTACTACTGATGCCAAAAAGCTGAGATTATCCTTTGTTGATGATATGTAAGTTTTCCTGTCGACTTCATTCCACTGTTGAAGATACTTCTCTGCCTTGCTCATGCTGAAGAAACGAAGATAAAATTAAATATCTCATTACAAAAATCAATAAATATTGGCTGGGATTGCAGACTTGARCATAGAGTTTTACCTCAGGCTCAGTGATTATTGTGCCAGCGGAAGACTCGCAGTTCGGTAACTATTCACAGATAACTTAATCACATCGCCTTCGGCGAATAATTGTTTAATAACCGGGATTTTACGGTAGCAAGAGAATATTAGGTAAGAGACCACATCTCCAATACATGGGTTTCTAACCATAAACGTTTTTTGAAAATCTATTTTTAGCTTCGCGTACAAGCCTAATCTATTTTTAGCATGCGATTCCTGATTGGTCAGAGTTGTAGTGACTTCAATGCGAGCGAAAAATGCTTAGTTTCCGAAGACGCCTGGGAAGGAAACTGCGATAAAAATAGTGATGAAAGTAGCAAAGAACCTACAGTGAAGACAGCGAAAAAAGCATTTATCGTAGCGTTTTCGATAGTAAATAAAGTTTAAGTTTAAGTGATTAAGAAGATGATGAATGAGAAGAGTATTTTGTTTCACACACGAATCAGAAAAAAATATTTGCACCGAAATGTACTGAAGAAAAATGTCTGTTATCACAGAGGAAAAAACTACAAAAGGCACTGAAATGATTTTTCACAATTATTTAATATGTTTGGCTTGCCAAAATGCGGTATATCACTTTATGCAAAAGATTATCCATTGAGAAAAGGTGAATTAATTAAAAAGTTTGACAAAATTAAAACTTTCTTTCAAATTTTCATTGCATCTTGAATTTTCGCTTCGCCTCGCCTTTTATCATAGCTTTTCAACTCATCTAAAGTCTCCATCAGACAATAGAAATAGAATCACATGAAATATCGGCCAACTAAAAAGCGAATCAAATTTAGTTTTGAGGATTCAAACTAATAGAAAAGAGATTGCTTTTACCTGCTTGAGGGGGGTTTTACTTGCGATTTTTTCCCGCCAGATTCTCTCAGTTCGGCGTATTTGTGCGTATTTATGTTTAATTCTTCTATTCCGAGCAGCTAGACTGTTTTCAGCTATCTTAAAACCTCTTCCTTTTACTGGTAAACAACTGATTCCAACAGATGCCAAATTTCCTCTCAAGCTTAAAAGTTTTTGAACTTTTGACTCAGTGAATTCAACAAGTTTGTTCATCGAAAATCCTCTTTCGTAAACGAGTCCAATCTACCTTCAGTTTAGATGTCCAAAAGATAACTTGTCATTTTGAAAATACTGAAGTTCAGGTCAGAAGTATGTGTGTTTGGGATACAGCAATATTTACTGTATTTCAGTTGAGGTAGATTAGTGTGGAAAACTAACAGTCTCATCTATAACTGCAATCGACTCCAAAAAATGAGTCTTAATCGARCGACTATTGTTTTGATTTAAAAACAAGCTTGAATTATGTTGTCTCAGCTGAGTATTTTTTACATATGCTGTTATAATGGATTCCTTCAAAAACCTTTCAGAATTTCTCAAGGAATTCCTCTAAACACATTTTCTAATAAAATTGAATGAAGTTTTGTTTGCCGATCTCTTGTGTACCCATGACGTCACTACAATCTGACCAATCAGAAATCACATGCTAAAAAAGCTCAGGCTTGCGCGCGGAGCTCAAAATGGATTTTCAAAAAACTATCATAGGGCACAGAGATATGCTCTCTTACTTAATAATCTCTTGACGGTAGTTATATCTAAAAACAAATTCTTGGGTAAATCGACATTTTCATTTTGCTCAACATGGAAAACAGTCTGCCCAAGTGTTGTTCAGCAAGAGGGACTGTTTACAGTCTAGTTCAGCACATGTTATCTTAATTTTTCAATCATGCTATTTCTGACAGGCGGAAACATAATTGACATTCTATTTCAGTTATTTTTATTCTGATATTTCCATCCGGCTTTTGCCCTTCTTTGTTTCCAACATCTTCCATAATCACTAACTTATTTATACCGTGGCGTTGTAGGAGACTAAATCTTCCTGAGTAAAAGACTGACATTTTTTAAAGCCAATCAAAGTTCAACAGGCTAATCAACTTCAGATTAAAGTATCGTATATTTTTAGTAGGTTTGAAGGACTCGCTGACTCGTGGTCATTAACATCTACAAAAGAAAAACATTAATATTCCGGAGGCGTGGGTAAATTACCTTTCGATTGAAAAAAGTAGCTCTTATTTTGAAATGTTGGTTATGACGTTCCTAAATTTTATCGTTGGAAAAGAAAATCAAATATTGTGAGCCAAAAATTGAGGCAAATTTAAGATTAACCATGAAAAAAAGGGAACAGAACAAACAAAGCTGAAATTTGTAATCGCATTAGAAATATAATGCGCTGTGGATAAAATCGAGTCCATACGTGTTCTTTGGCGATCGTGGTCATACATACTAACATATATACATACATTAATTTATTTAACAATGCAGGTTTTTTTATATGGCAACTATTACAGCTGATGTGGTCGATTTTGTGTACGAATAATGGCATTCAATGCCGCTATAAAGGAGTGCTCCATGAATGCATAATAAAATCATTGAGTTTGAAGTGGGGAATTTCTATCTTTGCTGTAAAATGCCGAAAAAGTTTACCCTCTCTGCGCTTTATAAGCTAAGGCATTTGTAACGTACTAAATAGTCTGGTTCTGGAAGACTGTCGAAGATTTTCAGACCATCACTTACCTCATATGACTCAAATACGAGAACAGGGTTTAGTTTGGCCGTGAAAAGGATGGCGATTTATAAACAGATATGAAGCAGCCATCGAAGATGATCATTTTTCTGGCTGCAGCTTGAAAGGTCATCCGAAGTGAAACCCGGATGTGACGTAAAGTCCTGTATCAACAGAGCTGTTTCGGGCTTTCCAATCACCATGAACTATATATCAGCTGAAACAACGTATATGCCGTTCGAGATGAAAGATATGTCATGAAATTAAAAGCGTCTTTTTCAAACAATCCTACAAGAAATGCTGCAATTATCGTGAACACTGAAATCGAGAAGGCTAAAGAATCGTATTATAAGATTGCCTTTTTCATGACAATAAAGGGAACTTAAGGGCGACTTGGAGTATTGTTAATGAGCTCTTTAATGAGTGAATACTGAATGCATATTATTCTGTTCTGGACGTAAACTGCGCGGTGTTTTTTCTCGGTTATCATAAACATCTTGCTAACTGTTTCTCGAAACGAGTCAACTACTTCATCCTCTGACCGTCCTCGATCGATTTCTTCATGTCCCCGTTTGAGAAATGCTATATCCTTGTAGTCTTCAATTAATRATTCCTAGCGGGAAATATTCAATAAATACTCCTTGTATGTGACCTCCAAAACAACAAAAGAGAAAAGGGAACAACAAGAAACCTCTTGCACGCAGGGCTCATATTTCTTGGTAACTTTCGTCGGTCAATGTGCAAAAAATTGTGACGGGTTTCTGGCTTTCATTCATCGTAAGACCTGTATGCTTTAATGTTTTCTATTGACCTAAGATATCTGTATTTCTGTATTCATCTGTCCATTCATATTTTGACATCTCCTTTTCATTGTGCTACGCAATCTCAAGTATCTGATCTTCCGTTACTTCAAAACGCCAGGGCGGTTCAACTGCTATCTTCAAAGTATTGCCTTGCTTGTAGTCCAGATATGACCAATCAAACGGTGCCAGTCAAGAGTCCTTTTCTTTGCTGGTTTTGTCAGTATCTATTGGCATATCAGAATCGTAGTATTGCAAGCATGTTACCATTTTACAGAAATAATGCAATGGATTCCTCAATCTTTTTGCATCAATTGTTTACTCTATCGAGGCACGAATAGATCGCTGTATTCCACTCTGCCCAGATCTATGAATAAAGGGTAAAGCAGTTGGAAAGTTGTTGTTTTTCTGTTGCGAGCATCTGGATCGTCACGATTACGGTTTACCTAGCTGGATCGGTTTGTGTGATAGATAGATAGATAGATATAGGATTACAATAGTGTGACAACATGACAGTGGATAAGACTAATTACATTTTCCAGACTTCAACGGATATGTTGTCCTCTCAGTCGGCCTCTCCAAACGAACGCCATGCAGCAAAAGGTGAAGCTTACTTCGATTTCCACTGCCATTTAAACTTATGTAACCAAGATCTCCTCATCCAAGCCAGATCTTTCTTAAATTTCGGGTCGAAAGACCCCAGGGGGGGGTACTACCACCCYAACTTGGGTAGGGGTGTGCCGCCAGGACCTCAAAACCCTGATCTTATCCCAGACCTAAAATTTTGATTTTACATACCCTACCCCAGACTAAAACTAAGAATTGTACACCCTATCCCAGACTAAAAGACGGAAAATACGTTTTTACAATCGATTGCAATCAATATTTACTAACATTTTTATTGTTTTGGTGTTGGCAGAAAGCGTAGCCTATTCGCCAGAAAAACGACCAAATCGTTAACCCTATCCCAGACTAAAATGATACCCTATCCCAGACAAAATGTCAAAAAAGGATACCCTACCCCAGACCCAAAAGCCGAAAAACCGTACCCTATAGGGCGGCACATACCCGTATAGCAAATATAGTGGAGTACCCCCCCCCCCCGGGCGAAAGACGGACTGATAAGTACCGAAAGGTACTTAGTGTCACTATCTCTGTCTAACGTCATTTCTAGAAGTTTTACAATTGGTTAGATTTCTAGCTATGGAATTATTAGGATCACCCTGTGTAATAAGGCTACAATGCTTCCAGACATTTTTTAAAACCATAAAAGCACAGCTCGACTCTTTCAGATAATGATCGCTTGACTGTTAATGCTGAATCATGAGCAAAAATAGTAGACTTCCTTTCTAAGGAAAAACAGAGTTATCATTTTGTTATTAAATATCA